CCAACAGCAGCGCCCACCTCCCCCAGGGAGCCCCGGGGTGCGCGGGCAGAGACAGGGGCCCGGCGATGCCCCGGTGTGTAACTGGCCGCTAATGCCGCCCTCCTCCTCCACGGAACCAAATGAACAGAGGAACCGACTCTCCTGATGCTCAACTCGCTGGATCCGCATCTGTCTCCCCCCTGGTCCCCCGGAAGGTCTTGCGCGCTCCTGATTCCATTCAGTTTGCTTATGCAACCGGACAGGCTGGCGCGCGTCCTGGGGGTTAGGTCTATATTCTGGGCTCCAGGGGCCAGCGCCTTATTATTATTATTATTATTAGGAGAGGAGTGCCCAGAGCCCGGGAAGGGTCCGGGATGAATGGGGAGCAGGAAGGAGCGCGACCAGCGGGCCGGGGGATCCGCTGGCGGCCCCGGAGTCCCCTCGAACCCCAGTCTCCTCCCCGTCTTCCATTCTCCCGCTCTGTCCCTGGGCGCCAGGGGGGAAGGGACCCATCCCTCCCGCACGCGCCCCGCCCCCGCCCACAGACATGTGGAAAGACCGTGGTCGCACCACTGTTCATTCTGGAAGAGCGAGAAATGGGAGCCACAGTCTGTCGGTGGGGAGCGATCGAATAAACGAGGGCACACGGACCCCGGGGACACTGCGGAGCTGATAGAAAATAACGGGGCAGATCCAGACTTCCTGACGCGGATCGAGTTAAATTAAAATCGAATCTTTAAGTCACAGAGTGTGGATCTGCTTGTGTTTTTAACAACCCATCCAGGTGCGGACAGAAGGGGGCTTTGCACTGTTGTGTTTCCTCTGAGATGGAGGGAGGCTTTTGGGTCTTACTGTGTTTCTGAATTATGGCTGCTGCGGACGGTTGGGTGATTTTAAATATTGGCCTTCGGTGCTATGAGCCAGAAGCTCCCTGACTATCTTAGTCTCTGGAAGCAGTCAGTGGTCAGATCAGGAGCGGACTGGCTGGAAGGCATCTGCTCTCCAACCCCCCACCCGCACTCCCTAGCCCGCACCCCCTCTCCACACCCTGCCCCACCCCCAGGGGGTCACGCTGTCTGAGCACTGTGCTTAGAGGCCTTGGCCGCTGGAAGTCCTGGGCTGAGGAAGGGATGGGCTCCTACCCAGGCAGAGAGAAGGCGGAGGGGCTTTGCAGCCCAGAGGGCTGGTTCAGATGGCAGAGGCCCCCTGACACCCACCCTCTCACACCCTCTGCCCTGAGGGCCAGGCCAGGCCCAGGTAGAAGGAGGTGCCACCCTCTGGCAACCAGCTCTGGATAAACGCCAGCCCTCAGCCACTCCTAGAGACGCTTCCCCTGACTTGGCCCCCGTGGGCAAGGGCAAGGCCAAGGCTCCCAGGCAGTGTTTCCCAAGCCCAGCACCCACTCCCCAGACAGGCCCAGGCTGTACCCCGCCCCCGCCCCCAGCACCAACCAACCGGGCATTCAGAGGCGTCCGCACAGCAGCCAGAGAAGAGGCCAGGAGGCCGCCGGGACACAGTGGTGACGCCGCACGCCGCTCGGGCCAGGTGTGCTGTTCCCGGACCCGAGTCAGATCAGCTGCCAAATAATTCTGTGAAAGCTCACGTGGCACTAATCGACTCAGGTGTCTTCACGTTAGGAATGCTCCAGGCCCCTGATATGCTCAGGCACATGGAGACTCTCCCCCAGGGGTACTGGAAGCCGCTTTTACCAGAAAAACACCACGCAGGGGCCCTTTCCTGCCAGGCCTCCCTCAGGCTGGGGACGCCAAACCGATGCCCTAGTGAAGGCAGGAGGCAGCCCCGGAGGGCGAAGGACCGTCCGGGCACAGCTCCGGGAAACTGAAGAGGAGGAGGATTAAGTGGAAGGAGGTGTGAGGAACGTAGAGGCCACCTCATCTGCGAGAGATTAGAAACCAGCCCTGTCAATGAGACGGGCAGGTGCACGGGACCAACGTCAACCTTTTCTGTTTTTTTGTTAATCCACACCGAGGATATTTTTCCATTTTTTTTTTTTTTTTAGAGTGGAAAGGAGGCGGGGAGACACAGAGAGAGAAACATCGATGTCAGAGAGACATATCGATTGGTTGCCTCCCACACGTGTCTCAACCATGGCCAGGGATCAAGCCTACAACCAAGGTCCGTGTCCTTGACCAGAACTGAACCCGGGACCCTTCAGTCTGCAGGCTGACGCTCTATCCAGCGAGCCAAACTGGCCAGGGGCTTCTCTTTTCTCAGATCTTGAGCCCTGGGGTGCGTGACTGTGGCTGAGGGACGCTGAAGGGCTCCCAAAGCACACTGAGCAAAGCCGTTCACAGAAGGCATGGGCCCTTCAAGTAGTTTTATCTTTAGCGCTCAGATGTCTAGCAGAGCATGAGTGGCTCCATATTGCTACCAGCAAGGAGGACAAGTGGAGGGATTTTAAAGCAGATGGCCTCTGAGTGCAGAAGAAGGAGACTTCTGGCTCCTCATCCCTACCCCGACCCCAACCCACCACCCTTACCCCAACCCACACCACAGTGTTCCCTCCCCAGAAGCCTGCCCCAGCTGCCCCCTTCCCACTAGGAAAATAGCCAGCAGGGCAGATTCCCCAGCCCTCACCCAGGTGCCTGGATGAGGGTCTGATCACCCTGCCCCCAACCCATCCTCCCACCCCCAGGAGCTCAGGCCTCAGAAGCACTTTGCACCCTGACCATCAGCCTTGGGTCTGGGCTATAGCCCCCCCCTCCCCCCATTGTGTGCACGTGTGGTGTTTTCCACTATCCTGGGCCAGCAGAAGGTCTGGGCATGTGCCCCGGGCCCTCCAGTTGGTCACAAACAAGCTGGTAGATTTCGAAAGCTATTAATTCCTGGGTTCTGACACACCGGTTCACCACCAGGCAGGATCTAGTGCCCACGGATCTGATGTCAGAGGGCGGCCTTGGCATAGCGCCATCCTTCCTGCCCGCATGCAGTGTGGCAGCACCGAGAGAGAGAGAGAGAGAGAGAGAGAGAGAGAGAGAGAGAGAGAGGCATAGAGCCTTTGCCTCTGGAGACAACCTTTCTGTTCACACTAGGCCTGCAAACATCACCTTCTAAGAAATGATATTGTCAAAGAATAGTAAGGAAAAAGTGAAGGTAGAAATAAGCAAAACATTATAACCTTGTGTTTATTTTAAAAACAATAATAAATGCACTTAGGCAGAGGGGGAAACTGGAAAAACCAACAGTGACTACCTTTATAAGTTTATCACTCAACAAATATTTACTGAGCAGCTACTGTTTGTCAAACTGTTCTAGGTGCTGAAGAGACAAAACCTAGGGATCTTATATGCTAGAAAGTTAACAGACAGTAACAAGTTCAATATAGAGTATGCTAACTGGTGGAAAGTACAATGGAAAAGGGGCTATGAGGTATTGGTGGGCGAAGGGTTGTCACGTTTAATAGATTTTTTAAGAGAAGTTTTAGATTTACAGGGGGAAAAAAAGAGATAGTAGGGAGTTCCCCCTAACACAGTTATTGACATCCCATGTTATACTGGTACATTTGTTTGTTTGTTTGTTTTTTAAAAGCATTCTTTTTTTATTATTTTATTTTTATTGATTTCAGAGAGGAAAGGAGAGGGAGAGAGAGATAGAAACATCAATGATGAGAGAGAATCATTGATTGGCTGCCTCCTGCACATCCCCTACTGGGGATCGAGCCCGCAACCCGGGCATGTGCCCGTGACCAGAATCGAACCTGGGTCCCTTCAGTCCACAAGCCGACGCTCTATCCACTGAGCCAAACCAGCCAGGGCTGGTACATTTTTATAATTAATAAATCAATGTTGATACACTCTTATTAACTGCAGTCTACAGTTTATTCAGATTTCCTTAGTTCACCTAATTTCCTTGCTCGGCTCCGGATCCCACTCAGGACACCACATTCTACTCAGTTGTCTTGTCTTCCCGGGCTCTCCGGGCTGTGGCGGCTGCTCAGACTTTGGTGACCTTGGCAGTTCTGAGAAGTCCTGGTCAGGTGCTCTGCTCTGGAATTTGCCACATGGTTTTCTCATGACCAGACAGCGGCTGCAGGTTTCCAGGAGCAAGATTACATTTGCATCATGTATCAGATCAAGGGTACATGCCATCCACATGATTTATGACTGTTGATGTTGACCTTGGTCACCTGACTGAAGTAGGGTTTGCCATGTGTCTCACTATAAAGGTAGCCCCTGCCCCCAATACTGTCCTATGCTCCCCTCCTTTATTGAGGGTGAAGTAGCTACACAAATTATTTGGAATTCTTCTCCCCCACTTATTAATTTAGCCAATCACTTATTTATAGCAGACACATGGATATATTTTACAGTTGGGTTATAATCCAATGATGTTTTACTTTTTTGCTCAAATTATTCCAGCTTTGGCTGATGGGGGCTCTTTCACACTTGGCTCCTGTGCCCTTTTGACATGCCCCCCCTAATTTTTTGTCAAATAAATGAGTAGCCCTCTGTCACCTCCTAGAGTCCCCTAGGACTGGCTCAGACCGTCCTCAGGTCCAACCAACTTGACTCTCAGAAGTTTAGGCCCAAGTAGATCCTGCTGAGGATGGAGGAAAGTCACCCCAACGCTGCAGAACCAACCATAGCCTCCTGCACATCTGCAATCCCCCCTATCAGGCTGAACCCCCACAGCTTCCCGAAGCCTCCTGCTCTCCACGCCCCAGAGCCAGCCAGGCCCAGACCCTTCCAGAACACCTCGGAACATCTCCTTAGTCCCCCTCTTCTCTCGTCCCACCACCCCCTTTCTTATCCACTTAAGACCTCCAAGGTCTCTGGTCTTCCCTCCAGTCTCACCACAGGCCAGTTTCCACAGGGATCCAGAGTGATCTTTCCAACAAGGACCCCTGACCTACACACACACACACACACACACACACACACACACACCTGCTTTACCCGCTTCATGGTCCTCAGGATAAAGCCCAAAGTCTGGAGGTGGCTGCCTGGCCCCACCTCCCAGGCTCTCCTTCCTCTGTGAGCTGCTCTCAGGTCAGCCCAACACCTGCCACCTGTGCCCTCACACCACCGTCCGTCCACTGCTGCCTTCTGCATGGTCACAATGAATTGTGTCCTTGTCATCCCACGTCCCATTCTGAGTCCTTGGGGGCAGCCTGGCTGGCTGGCGGCCTGGGCCTCTGTCTTTGGTCCTGGTTACACAGCGAGCCTGCTGGTCTACCTGGAGTTTACGGGGAGTGGCTGCCATGGTGAGGGGTCCGTGAGGGGTCGCTGAGGGAGCTCCCGGTGGTTGCCGGTTGCCGAGGCCCCTGGTCTCTCCCCAGCACCACCACTGCTGCCCTGGCCCAGAACCAAGACTGACTCCATGAGGTCTGGGTCCAGGGTGAGACCCACCAGAGGCCTAGGGGCTTCTTTCGCTCAATATGTTTCACCCCCTGACGTTTGGTGAAATGCTTGACTCTAAGTAGTAACCCTGATTATTTTTTCTTTCTGCCTTTTCCAATCCTTACAAACAATGCATGTCCCTCAGTTTTTAGAATGAAAAACAAAAACGTCCTCTGAAAAACCATTCTTAGGAAAACGTTGGTTACAGAGAAACACTCCCTGTGCCTTCCAGAGCTGAGCACGCACAGCCCGCAACAATCCCTCCGCAGGTCTCACCCAACAGAGACGCGTCCACATATGCGCCTGGCCAGGGAACTGGAGCTGCCCAGGCCCATTTACAATAAAATGGGTGAAAACCTTACGACAGAGCCACTCGACAGCGGGCTACCAGCAAGGGGACAGTTGCTCCCAATATGAGCGAATCTCACAAACATGTTGAGCGAAAGAAGCCCCACGCAGAGAGGACGTGGGAGGCGTATGGCTCAGTGCGCACAGGTCCCAGCAGCGGAGGCAGCCTGGGGGTTAGGGGTCAGAGCGAGGCCAGCGCTGGGGGTACAGATGGTGTCCTGAGGGGCCTTCCGGGTGTGGGTCAGGGCGTGCCAGTCCATCCAGCTGTGCACTTTGCTTTCGCAATGTTCTGTACGCACGTTTAATCCAGTAGAACAGGTACGAGGCGGAGGTGGGGGGTATGGGGGGCACGCATCCTGCAGCAGGTTAACCCCCCTGTTCTGTCCGAAGGGCGGTGGAGCGCAGGTGTCTGGGGTCCCTCTGCCTCCTCAGTCCCCTGGGGCGGGGAAAGGGGGGCAGGGGGCTGTCTGTGCGTCAGCACCTCCACCCCGGCAGAAGGCAGGGAGCAGGGGCACCCACTTCCCCACTCCTCACAGGCCAGGGAAGCCCCGGGCCTCCTCTGACCTTGCACCCCCGCCCCCCCAGATCAGGGCGCTGGGCTCTGGGGGTTCAGGTTGCAGCAGCCGGGCGGGAGGGCGGTAATCAATCCTGGCAGCGGCGAGGCCGCGGGGCCAGCGGGTTATTTATAACCGCGGGTCGGGTTACCTCCTGACCTTCAGCCCTGCAGGGACCCGCCGCGG